CTGATGGGCTGCTGCCAAGGGGTGTCCAAAGAGTTGGGCAGACCATGCCAGTAGCCCTTCAGGACCATGAGGGCTGGGTGGACCTTCCCATAGGCTGAAAAAGCTCCTGGAGACTTGTATAAGATGAATGAAACCGAGGCTGCCTTATTCCCCAAGATGGGCAAGAGACTTGCCTGCAGAAGCTTTGGTTTCACAGCAGAAGAGCCTTCTGTCTAATAATATGCATGTGACTGTCTTGATGCAGGGCAGTGAGAGCTTCCGCACACTGGGGCTTGTGCTCTGAACGTGTCCGAGTAGCAGTGAGGCGGGTGGGGTGGGGGCAGATGGCATCCACAACCATGCAATTGAATGTGTGCAACTCATTTAAACAGGGAGAATGGTCATGGCCACCATCTTGACTTTTTTGACCCTCTCTTATGGACACCCCTGCACTGAGTAGTCCTGATCTCAGCCAGCCTGCTGGAAAATCCAGCTCCTTTAGAGCTATATTCACAGTGGGTTCTATCAAAGCTACGTCAACTGCAGAACTCTGAAAGACAAACCCTCGTAAAGACTTATGGAACAGGTTTTATGTGCAACCGCCTTCCCCTCTGCTCTACGGCACAGTCAGCCCTGCAGCTGGGGAGAGCCAACTGCAAAAAAGCGAGCACCCTTGCTGCAGCAAAAGCCTGCCACACCCCGTCATTTTCCGACTCAGGAGGTTTTGAGAGGAGCCTGATGGAGTGTCCACAAAAGCAGGAGCTATCCTCTGCTGGAAAGGTGTGTTTCAGAGGTCCAAGACCTCCTGAAGAGCAAAGCCTCCCTGAGGCTCGTTTCAAACCCCAAGCAGGTCTCCGCAGTCCCAGGCCAGTTAGGATTTTATTTCATTTTTTCCTTTATTTTATATATTATTATTTTATTATTTTATATTATTATTTGCGCAGCCTCATGCAGCGTTGCGGAGGCCTCGTGCGGTGTCAGGGAGGCCTCGTGGGGTCATGGAAAGGCCTTTGAGTCCTCGCGGGGGGTCAGCAGCTGCCTCAGTCAGGCGCGCCGCATCAGCAGCGGGAGGAAGAAGACGGTGAAGGTCAGCTGGGGTGGGTGGGGACGGCAGGGGTAGGTGGCAGTGGAGTGCAGGGCGGCCAAAAGGGCAGAGATGGGGGGTGGAGATAGGCAGGTGGGTGGAGTTGAAGTGCCCGCTGCAGTCGTAAATGCAGGCAGGCTGCCAAGCGCCCGACTTTTGATCACGTGACCATAGGGGGGGGTGCTGCAACGGCCATAACTTCGAGGACTGGCTGTAACTACCATTTGTTCAGCGCTGTCATAACTTCAAACAGTTGCTGATGGTCGCTAAGCGAGGACTACCTGTAGTGGCATCAGCTTCTTTGAGTGAGGGAGTGGTTCCATTAGCCTTGGAGGAGGCTGTGGTGCTCCCTCCCTGTACCCAACCGTCATGGGCAATAGAGAAAGTGGTTGGGCTTCAGCTTCAGAGGATCCTGGAGGAAGCAAAGTATCTAGAACCGTTTTCAGTTTCAGACTGGGGTTTAGTACGGAGACGGCATTGATTGTGCTTGTTGATGACTTCTAGCAGAGATGGGACGGGGTTGGTGTATCCGTCTCTGCGCTCCCTGATCTCTCACAGCTTTTGGTACCATCGATCATGGTGTACTCTTGGCTGGCTTTGGGGGTTGGGTGTGGAAGGCACCATTTTACAATAGTTCTCCTCCTTTCTCTGTGGCTGGTTTAATTCAGTGTTGACAGGGGTGAGAGGTTGCACCCATGGCCTCTCGCTTGTGGGGTGCTGCAGAAGTCAACTCTCTCCGTTTATTATAACATCTACATGAAACTCCTGGGTGAGGTCATGATTGATTTGGGATCAGGTTGTTGCTGTTGTTGTTGTCGTTTTTATGATGCCTTCAAGTCAGTGTTGACTCCTGGCGACTGCCTGGACTAGTCCCTGCAGTTTTCTTGGCCAAGTTTTTTTTGGAAGTGGTTTGCCATTACCTCCTTCCTAGGGCTGAGAGAGAGGGACTGGCCCAAGGTGACACCACTGGCTTTGTGCCTAAGGCGGAACTAGAACTCACAGTCTCCTGGTTTCTAGCCAGATGCCTTAACTACTAGACCAAACTGGTTCTC